TGACTCAGCATTGGCTCATAAATAAGCAGAGGTGGGCGAAGGCCAGCTGTAAATATGCTTCCCCCTAGGCGCGCTCCGACACCCACCCTCATTGTCGGCCTCGTGCTGCAGATGTTCAAATGACCAGAGCTGCCAGAAGATCGTCACAATAAACAGTCCCCACCGCTGCAATGCGCGCAATTTGGAAAACGCCGTCTAACGGGGTGACCCCTATTCACACAAGGTTTAGCAATTACAGACTCGGATCCACCCTCCCCCCATCCGATGAGAGCAGAGAGGAATCCGCTACACACTCACACACACACACGCAGAAACAGAGAGTGCAGAAGCAGCTCTCCATAGCCATCCCAGCACACAGCTATACAGTCAGGCAGGGGAGGCAGGCGGACTGCGGGGGAATATGAGAGCCGTACACTGGAAGCGTTGAGAAGCGCTGTGTGTGTCAATTAGCCTTTTCAGAAAGGCGAATTCCTTTCCCCAGCCATCGCGTCTTCACTCGGCCCCCTGAGCAGGCTGCTGGCCTACAGAGGGAGCATATGTCAGAGGCCTCATGGGTCGGTGCGAGATGCAGTTGTGCAGGATTAAGTGACACTGGCATTTGAATTAATTGACGTTCTTGCCTCTGAAAGCAACATTCGAGAGATTCTGTTTGCTTTTTTAAGGCCTGTGTTGAGGCTGTGACCTCCGTCTGCAAATATCTGGAGAAAAGATATGCAATCTTCTGAAAGGTAGTTGTGAATAATTTGTCAAATAGAAACAGCGGGTGGGAGGTGGGGGCGGTTCAAGGTAATCCCACTTCCAGGTCAGCGCCAGAAAGTTTCGAAATGGGTGTCCAGATGGGAGAGGATCTTTTTTTTTTTTTTTTTTATGTCTGGCATCTTGCTGGCTTGGGCATAGCACTGTGGGTCTGGTTGCTGTGCAGCATTAGCAGTTTTTTATGATGTCATATTTAGGGAAGGCATTTATTTATACCCATATGACTTTGCACAAAGACGGACAGACATGAAATATGTTTAGGGAAGACAGGGAAGTGAGTGACAGACAATCACAACTGCTGCTGTGTGATGGCAGAAAAAAAACAGGATTTGTGACAAAGGTCAATGACAGGTCAGGCTGTTACTGAAACAACAAAAAGCAGAACCGAAAACAAAATTTAAAAAAGACTAGCTAGATGGACGCCACTTATAATTAAGTTATGACTTGATTTTAGTTTTGCCTGTACTTTGGTGCCCGAACAAAGCAGCATGGGCTTGGCTGATTTAAAGCGTTAGTTGCTAATTTGCAACGCAATGATCTTTATCGAGTTTTTGTCATATTTAGAGAAGCCAGCAGCTGGGAATGATACATACATACATTTTGTATGTATGTGACAGACATACATACAAAACACAAATGAGTAACATAGAAATAAATAATTAACAATAAACATATTTAAATAAATAAATGTGTGTCCCAACCCTTTGCTTGACCTCTCCCCTGAATCTCTTTTAAAGATGAGACTGTTTAGTCAACCCCTGCTCTCCTCTCATGCGTTGGCGCCACCGCCATCTCCTCCTCCTGTTAAAACCATAATAAACAACCAGACTGCTGTCCTTCAATTAGGCCCTCCAGTGCAGATCACCTCCTAAATTACCACCTGGGATGGAAACACAAAGGCATCTAATTGTAGTTTGATCCACATGGGAATCCTCCTTACCAGGATTTTTCAGTATACTCTCTTACTTCATTTTCTCTATTAAAATGTCCCATCAGGACCCACTGGCATTGGTTGGGCGTTAATTAACTTCTGATTTAGGTCCTCTGATATCAAATATCCATGCCTAGTCCCTCAGATCCAGTCCTTCCTTCAAATAGCTTGATTTGAGAATTCACACCTTTACATCCGGCGTATTTAGCCCCCTCCGCCACCCCACCTTCCTCTCCTGGGCAAGAGAGCAGGGAGTACGGGGGGGTGGGGAGAGGATGAGATATTGCATCGCCCCTCCTCCCATGCCCTTATATGGTCATGGCTGAAGTTGAGGCTGTGCGGCCTGGTCCGAAGTCCACCTCCGTGCACAGAGTCGCTCACCTGTGTTGAAACGCGACGAGGAGGCGGGGGTCCAGGATGTTTTCCTCCGGCTCCCATGTGTTGTACCTGCAGAGAGGAGAGGAGCCAACAACTGTCAGGGAGCCGCTGGGCTGTCACGTGCAAACTTCCCTTTTCAAACTGACATGCACATGCCTCCCACGGACACATTCCACGTATCTTCAACAGTGCTTGGACAGGTGAAGCAGGGACAGAGCGAAAACAGAAACATCCTTTGGATACAAATGATCCCCTGAATCAACTGATAGTTGTTTTTTTTTTTTGTTGTTTTGTGTGTGTGTGTCTTATTTCCAGGGTGAATTATAAAAACAATGAAGATGTCCAACCGCAGAAGCAAAAGAAAAAAAAAATCAACCATAAATTGAATGTGTGTGAGTGTGCATGTGTGTGTATGTATTATCCAAACGCTCCTTCAGCTCCAACATCGAGTCGGCCATTTTAGCACCACTATGTCTCGTAAATTCGCTGGCAGAGCAGAAATAATTAAAACGGGATTACATGGCTGTGCCTGCCACCCCCCACCCCCACGCCCAACCCCTTCCCTCGCATAAATTAGTGAAGGCATCCGCGGATCCACTGAAACACACACTCACATAAACACCCGCGGATTTGTGCGCGCAACGCCCTTCATAACTAGATGCAACACTTGCATTCGTTAATAATGTTTTGGTTTGGTTGTTTAATGACTGCGCTGGTGCAATTTGACGGGCGTGTTTCAGACTTACTTTGGAGACCAGCCGCGCCACTTGACCAGGTACTCGATCTTGCCCTGAGATGGTGGTTTGAGGAGGGGGGGGAAAAAATTGGATCAGGCTCGGATTCAAGCAGATGCAACATTTCGACGCCGTGCACGCGTCGCTTTCCCCCCCGCGGTTACCTTCCGAATGCGCTTCTTTTCGATGCCCTCCACCGCGAAGACGTGCTCGCCAGCGGCAGGGAGCTCCATTCTCAGCTCCGGTCCGATCCGATCGCAGGGAGGCGGCGAGGGGAGGAGAGGGGGACGAAAACGGTGAAATGCCCTCCGTTCAGTGCGTGCCGCGCCGTGCGCGCCCGGTAGTTTTCCAGTTGGATCCAAAAAATCGACAGTATTCCCTCCTCCTTCTCTCCTCCTCTCTCTGCACACTCCTTGGTCCTGGCAATGAGCGTAGAGATATTCACAGCGGTGCAGCGGCAAGCCTCTCTTTTCGTGCAGTGACGTCAGGACGGGAGGAGGGGAGATGGGTGAAGACCTTGCAGAAAGGTTGTAGTTTTCTTTTTTTTTTTTTTTTTCCAAAAGTTGGACTTCAACGGTCGACGTGATTTGAAATTCAAAACTTATCACCTGATCTGAAGAAAAGTGCACAAAAAAAAGAGAAAAAGGAAAAATCCACAGTAACATATTCGTTTTGTCCAGAGCTGGATTATGTGTCCTAAAGCACTTTTTTTTTACGTTTGGTCCCAGTTCCAGTTGCCATTATTTATTAAAATAAACTGGGAACTAAATTTCTCTGACTTACACTCATCTAGTCATTAACATCACCCTCCTTGTTTAACGTGGTAGACACAGCGCCATGCTGCGCAGACGCGTTTACTCAGCAGAAACAGGAGATCTGCTCATTTTGATGAGAGGATGGATGAAGCTGTATGCAAAAGACTTTTAGCAAAATGTACATAAAACCACACTTGAAAGCAAAGTCGCTCCTTGTGAACATAATGTAACAGCTTATGCCACGGTGTGAGCTGTTCTGGACCATAGGAAGATCTAGATAACCATATAAAACAACAAAGTGCCCATAAATCCACTTTGGATAATTAAAAGAAAGTCCAGCTGTTTGGCAGTGAAACATAAAAGAAAGATATATATATATATATATATATATATATATATACACAGCAGCGTGCTGTTACATAGCACATAAAAACACCATAAAACTTCAGAACATCTTAGAAAGGTTGCATGCGCATGTTCAAACCTGGAATTCATAAGGTGGACAAAATATGGCTGGACACAGAGATCCAGTTGTACTGAAGAAGGCATAAAAGTCATTGATTAAGACCATAAGAAAGTTTTTTTCTCTCTCCCCAAAGTTTTACTCCCTTCTATATTTTCCTAAGATGCGGGAAAGCTTGTGTTTTTGGAGCACACTGAGATAGATATTTTACAAAATGTTTTTTATTTGGTTAGATCGCGATCATGGTGGTGGCAGCATCATCCTGTGGGGAACCATTTTTTTTCCCCACAGAAGTAAAACAGGAATTGTTGATGGGCTATTCTGAAAGAAAGCGTGCAAACTTTATATTTTTATCGCACAGATCTGTGTCTACCTACACCCCTGCTGTCTTACTACTTAAAATGATTGTTTCTGGAACAAGGCATTAACAAAGATGGTGGTCAATCTGTGAAAGTCCGAGTGTGACCAAAAACAGTTGCTTTCACGGTAACTGATGCTGACGCTCGCTCCCCGCAGTTGTAAATGTGGACTCAGTTTGATTTCACGTGAGAGCTTTTTTGCAAATGTAGGTCAGGCACAGTCTGATAGTCACACCATGCGGGGCACCGTTAATTTGACACGCTGCAGAGTCGCAGTGCAGCCATCGCTTTACCTGCGGCAACTTTACTAATCCGTTGCCACGGCGCTCTGTTCGTTTGCCACCTGAAAACCCTCTTGTTATTGGTTTAAATATTGCTATTTAATCCACATCGGGACAATCTAAATCCAGCAGCTTAGAGCGCAGCATCGGGGAGCTTGTTTTCTGTGTTGTAAATGTCACCAAGTGGACTGATTTATAAGAGAGTTTCACGTGAGCACCAAAAAGAAAGCGCCTCTGTGCGCAAATCATCCCGTTTACTGCGCGCAAACTGCGCTCTGCCTGTACAGCTGGTTCCGAATGAGCAAATTCGTTACTTTTCTTGCCGCAGAAGGGGCGTGAAAAACAATTAAGCGGACGTTTTTCCTTGCTCCAAAAATAATTCAGCACCACAAGGGTTAATAAACTGAAGCCGAGGAGCAGAGCGGCAGCGGCCAGCCTATTAAATACAGGCACGATATATCTCTGCCCTGCCATATATGGTAATGGAGAAAAAGCGCCGAAATGTGGCTTTTTGCGCTCGATAATTCCCGGATTTGAGTCATAAATTGGGTGCAGTGAGGGTTTAAGATCGTGACTGTTGCAAAAAAGCTCGACGAAAGCCCCTAATTTACGCATTACGTCTGTTTTTATCCGCGGGCAGGCGGCGAATACGCCCTGCTTCCCTAGCAACAGCATGAAAAAAAGGGGGGAAGAGGAGCGCAGTGGGGGACACGGAGAGGAAGAATTTAAGTTTGCAATAAACAAACAAGTGCCTCATGGTAGCGCGCAAAGGAAGACGTGTCAGACAAGGTTATTTTATGCTTAAACGAAACGCGCGTTCAAACGTCAGGTTTTTTTTTTTTTTTTTTTTTTTTTTTTGTTGTTGTCTGGAGCTGCAGTTCTTCACTGTCAGCTCTGTTTATCCAGCAGGTACCCAAAATACAAATTATGTATCATTCCGTGTTTGCACTAAAGAAGAAGGACGCCTGGAGTCTGCGTCAAGACAAAGATAATCGTTTGAAAGAAAAATCCTCTGACTCAGACTGTCGGATCAGATCACAGCGCAGTCACTGATATAACCCTCACAGATCTGTCACACTGCTTATTGCACTCATTAGGTCTCAGCAATCTCTCGGTTGTTTAAGGTGCAACCGTCTCACAGAATCGGAGAGTTTCCGAAACATTCGAGGGAGATTAAAATAATCATATTTATTTCAGATCAATACCCCGCATTTCTTCCGCAAATCTGTAAAACCTTGGGTGAATTTGTTCTCTGCATCGCTCAGAAATCCTGATCATTTCATGAAGTTATCATGTCATGCTCAGCACTGAAAAAAAAAAAATCTTCTCACTTCAACCGCATCTGTTTCTCTGCACGAGTGCACATTTGCGGCAGTTTTTCTTATGCGCTCAGGTGAGCTCATCATGTCTTCCTGCACTTAATCCACCTGTAACTTTTGCGCTCAAGATGGTGAGATCGAGAAAACTCTGCCAAAAGATTAGATTACCGAGCATCAAAACAAGCTGTGCAGAACACATTCGGTGAGATAAAAAAGAGATTAAAATCGGATAGTTGAAAACTTAAAAAAAAAAAGTGCGTCACAAGTGAGTGAGTAAGTGAGGTTTTTATATCTTCTTGATAATTTTTTTTGTATCTGTTCAGGTCCGATGTAAAATAATAATAAAAAAAAACCTCGTAAGGATCCAAAATAATTATCTACATTCTGAAACCTCATGAAAATCCAAATTTGCGCACTTGACGATCCCCCACAAAAAAGAACCGCATGCACAAGGGCGCGTTTGCACAAACATCTCCAGTTTATTTTGTCTCACATGCGGCTGTCAAGGTTAAATGAACTGTTATCTCAAACGTGAGGCTAAAACTCAGGGTCAGGCAGTCCACCGTTTTTTAATCTCTTGTTTGAAGAGACTCTGTGAGAAAACCTCGATGGTTTTATTTATCTAAACAAAGCTATGAATACAATTTCAGGGGCGGTGGCGTGTTATGTTAAAGCTTGTAATTTATTTTTGAGTTACATAGTTTGTCTCATAGGGTGTAAGTGGAAAAAAAACTAAAATAAGGGGGTTTAAAGTGTGTTTGCTGGAGATATTCCATATGTGTCCATGTAGGAGGACAAGGGTCAAGTTAAGTCATGATCTCTGGTTCAGTCTCCACAGGCAGAACAGAAACCTCAGCGTCATTAGTTTTTTTTTTGTTTTTTGTTTTTTTTTCTTCATGTTTCAAGACCAAATTATTTCACCATTCTCCCTGTTTCTTATTCCAGACAATGCTTTGCATGTACAAAGTTTTTTCTACTTCTTTTTTATATGGGTGACATGGCTCACCACCCAGGGTGGCACAGCCTTTGGGGTACATTCAAAAAAAAAAGAAGAAAAAAAAAATCATTCATCAACTGCTTCATGTTGGCATGTTTTCACGTCCAATCGATGGGGAACCCTGTGAGAAAATATAACAGTCATACCCATGTCTAGCTGATATTGCTGAAGTTAGTTCACAGATTCTGATTACATAGCTTAAATTAAAGGAATCATTTTTAAGTCCTAATAAAACAATATCTTATTCTTAACTGAACAAGCATTCTTTAACACACAGCTTGACACAAGTGGATCCTTTATTACAACGAGAAAATCTTTTTCATGCTTTGTTTTCTTTTTTTTTAGCGGAGGGATTAAAAGTCGTAGCTAAACCTTGACTAGAAAAGAGTTGCAAAGACAGTGGCGAATTGATGGCACTTAGTGGAAGAATGAAGTCATTCTGGGCCCCTCGGGATTTGGCCTCAAGCCTTTAACAGCTTCTTAGTTTCCCTCCAGGATCACCCAGTGTTCATCTCCTTCTCATCTACTCTAACCAGCCTTACTGCCCCTGTTGAAGAAAGCCTCCCCACAGCATTACACTGCCACCAACATGTACATGTAATGCACCTAAAACTAACTAGAAAAAAAACAACTAGTGCTTAAATTAGGAGGCCTCCTCCCCCGGGGCTTTGACCTGTACAAGACTCGCTGTAGTCACAGGTGAGTGGATGAGGAAATGATAGAATTAAAATGAAGGCAGACGAGACGGGGAAATCCCTCTCCCTGCACTTCAGAGTTTCTGAATAATTCCTCTGAAACAAGGAAGGAGTGAGTTTCCATGTTGTAATTTACAAAAAAAACACAAGTGTGCTTCAAAAACCGTTTAAAGGACCCTTAAACATGTCTGATGGAGCTCAGCAGGTGCTTCTCAAGCAGGCAGCAGGGACACGAGGACAGAGAAATGAGGTCCGCTGTGTTGCTGCAAACAGATGATAGAAAGTCTGAATTACTGAATCAGAGGGTCTTTAATTACTGTAAATATGCTCCAAGTCTATTCCGACTAATTATAACGTAACAGAAAAAGATCCCTTTCAGGTGGCTGCATCCCTCCGCCGCCTGAGGTGTTAACACAGAAATCTTCCCCCGTTCCTTTGTCTGCCCCTGACATATGTTTAATTATGATAATTGTAACAAATGAAAGCTATTAGGGACTCATTCATCTTGCCTCCGCTGATTTTAATGCGCTGCAGAGATTGGGAGGGGATGTGTGTGTGTGTGTTGGGGTCGGTGGTGGTGGGGGTGTAGTGGAAATTCCTCCTCCAGTGTCATTGTCACGGCCATTGTTGCACTGAGGCGACAGGTCTGCAGAGAAGAAG